CCCTCCATTTTGACTTACCGGGTTCTCCCGGAGGCCCAGACTCTCACCATTAGGCAGGGACGACCTCCTGCGGGTCGTGGGGGTTCGGTTAGGCGCGAGGCTTCCTGCAGGTCTCCCTTTAACAACCAGGACCTCACAGCAAGCCTGATCTTCATTTAATGTGCTTTTCCCTGCATTGATGACCCTGGACAGAGAGATATTTAAGAAATTCCATATATGAAACTATCATTTATGCACTATTCACATTGCAATGGCATAAGAATCTTTAAATTAATGTAAAAAATTAAATGTTTGTGTAAAAGAAATACAGAAATATAGTCTGGTACAGAACAAAAATGTTTAACAGACACGATATACTGTAGTTACAGTATGGTTATGTGGTATAGTATCATGTAGAATAGGTACTTTATTAAATTCAAATATCCAGCAGCTCCAAAACAAACATCCTTCCAAGAAATAAATACACTAATTGCATAATATTAAAAATAGGATTTGTAAACACATTTTTGAGGGAACTATATATAAGACATCAGTTGTCATCTTTGCTCAAATCACTTCAAGTACGTCCTTCTACCAGGACAAAAACAAATTTCAATAACAGCTGTGGTCTGTGACTGTGCCTTTAGCGCAGTCACATAGACATGAATGTTCTACATGTTTAATAGTCTCAAAGTTTCTTGCTCAGCACATGGCTGCAGATGTATGAGATGGAAGCTGTGTAGTCTGTCAACCCAGTGATGGTTTTTGGACTGTAAAACCATCCAAAAACACGATTTCTGTGAAACAGTTTACGTGACACCCATTTTGACAGCGAAACATTAAGAAATGACATCAACGAGTTCACTTTAAATACATATTTCAATTTAAGCCTTACACAAGCAGGCCAAAGGACAGCAAGACACATAAATACTGCATTATACAACACCTGGCAGATGGTGCGCTGCTGCTGCGAGCTGCTGTGTAGACATTGACAAGCACACGCTGCTTAACACCACTCCAGGCATTCTCATTTTAGCCACAGTGAAGTCTAGTCAAGTGAAGTGAAGTTGTCTACAGGGGGCTTTTCAAACTACGTGTATCATTTTTAAGATCAGACCACAAGAGAAAAAGAGCCAACATACGAAACTGGAATGTAAATTTATAAAAATTATGCCACTTTTTTTTCCCTTTAGCCCGAACCATAACAAAGACCCTTTAATATTTCCTACTATCCTTAAAAGCATTAAGCTATTTTGGATCTTATGTGTCCAAAGGGAAATTAGACCAAATAAATGACAAGCGATATGGCTACATGTTGATATGAGAGGCAGTCATGATTATTTCCCAAAGGAGAATCCTTTGTAAACAAACCATGAGAATGAACTTGCAAAGCAGTGATCCTCTGTCTCCAGCTAAGAAAACACTGAGCCATAAAACTGACAGGATATTTATAGGATATTATTATTGCTGACCTACACAGTGAGCTATTCACTGCTTCCCCACCCCAAAAAACACAATAAGAGCAATGTGTGTCAACGATACCAACAACCATTAGATGACATAGTCATGGGCCAGAACTCTTAATCTCTGAATTCAAGTTTTTTTAAGCCTATTGCCACAGGTCTGTAAAATCAAGAACCTAGCCATGCAGGTTGTAAAGAGTTCCTACTATAATAGGATGCCACCACGGCAAAAATACAATACAATACTACTTTATTTGTATAGCACATTTAAAAACCAGCAGTACACCAAAGTGCTTCACAGTAATACAATAAATTAGAGATAGGAACAATAACAATAATAATAAATACACCAGCAGGTGGAGAGCACTAATTAGCTGCAGCACAGTATAAATAAGTAAAAGAAAATACAAAAAAACTCGACTAAGAGGTTATTCAGCAATAAAGTAAAATGATTAAAAGTACATAAGGGAACATTTGCAGGAAACCGGCACTAAACGACTGAATCGATTCAGATGGACGAATAGCAGTAGGAAGATTATTCCAGAGGTTGGGTGCAGCTATGGCAAAAGCACGATCACCTCTGGTCTTCAGCCGTGACCTAGGTTGCACTAAGAGCAGTTGGCCCGTTGACCTCAGTGCTCTCCTAGGAGTGTACAAGCTGAGAAGTTCAGTAAGATAGCTAGGAACAATGTTATTTATAATTTTAAAGGTAAGCAACAGAATTTTAAAATCAATGCGGTATTTGATGGGAAGCCAATGCAAGTCAGCGAGGATGAGGGTGATAGGATCAAACCTGCCAGTTCCCGTTAAGAGGCGTGCTGCCGCATTTTGAACGAGCTGCAGTCTGCAGAGAAGGGTAGATTGGAGGCCAATATAGAGAGAGTTACAGTAGTCTAATCTGGAGACGATAAAGGCATAGATACGTTTCTCAAGATCCTTACAGGGTATGTAAGGCTTGGTCTTGGCAATTTGGTGTAGTTGGTAAAAGCTAGATTTAACTACAGTGGTACTTGTTTGTCAAGTTGAAAAGAACTGTCCAAGAGAATGCCCAGGTAGCTTACAGTAAGAAAGTCAGAAAGAAAGGTAGCAAACAGCCCAAGTGAACCTGTTAGGTTCTAGGAATATGGCTAGTGAAAACTACAATTTCCGTTTTGTCGTTTACAATTTCCAATTCATCCTGTTAAATTTCTTCCCTCCAAGATATTCTACAATGAGCTGTAAGTGTTATTAATACAAAGTGAAAGCACAGCAATCAGCCACGAAGTTACAGAGGACACGACACATGGTGTGTAAAAGTCACCAATGCTCTGAAGACTCCATGATTGGACTGTTCCAAACTTCCTCTGGCATTAACATCAGCACGCAAACGGTGCGCCAGGAGTTTCATGGCATGGATTTCCAAGGAGTTTGTATAGAAAGTGTATTGTATATTGTAGGTGTATTGCGTAGGGGGTTCAGAACTATTTTCCACACAGTGTAGATAGAGAGAGAGACAGAATTATCATTTTTTTATTAATGTAGGTGACTCAAAAAGTTTCACCATTAGTTTTTTACATTTTCCAGCTACTACACACCATTTTTCTCTGCACTTTGAATTTAAAAGGCATACAACAGACAGTTGGTAAATTAAGTTGTAGTTAAAAAAGAAATAGCTGAAGCAGCATTTTGCAATTGATCAGTTTTTAATGGCAACAGGTGAGTAACATGGCTGTGTATAAGAAGAGCATCTTAGAGAGGCAGTTACTCAAAAATGAAGATGAGCAGAAGTTACCCAAAAAGGTTCACCAGTCAAATTGTGGAATAGTTCCAGAACAATGTTCCTAAACAGAAAATCAAGACTACAGTACAATCTACAGTACATAATCACATCTCAGATTTAGAGAAATCTCTGTGCACAAGGGACAAGGGCAAAAAGTGGCACTCCATTAAAACGGGATCGATTCTATCATGAAAATCACTGCATGGGCCGAGCAACACTTTAAGAAGTCACTGTCTGTAAAAATAGTTCCCAGTGACATTCACAAATGCTGGCTGAAGCTATCACACGAAGAAAAAGGAGGGGATGCTAAACAGTGGTAAAAATGGCCCCGCCCCAACTTTTGAAATGCGCTGTTGCCATCAAATTTTTCCTTACAATCAAAATCACATTCACTCAGCGTTCACTCGCTTATCTTGGTTATCTCCAGCAACTCTATTCCCCTTCAGTCCGGCTTGCCCTACAATTTCAGAAGCACACCACTCGAAGGCCGCTAACTCCAACTCTTCATACACCATCATGCATGACTGAGGCCAAAGCACTGCGACGCCCGACGGTCAATTGACCTTGTAAAATACACATAATCACAAGATTAACAACAGTTGAGGTTCCAATCCTTTCATCTCTTATATGACAGGAAAAACCATCCACACCCGGAGGCATGAACTGTGTCCGAGAAGAGGGCTGTCATATTCACTTACTTCATTTCAGTTCTTCATATTAGAGACAATGTCATGGCCTTAATTATCCTGTCAGATGTGTGATCTACATAACTATATTCCTTCTTTGGTTTGAGGAACTTTTTTTTTTTTTGTCATTTTTTTTTCTTGTTAACATACATTTATTGTAGTTTTGTATCTATATAATTGGATACTGTAAAATTTTACATGTGTATTGTGGATGTAAAAGCCAAACTAGGGACAATGACTGGAAATTAGCAATAGCTATGAGCAGTAAGTCAGTTTCTTGTTTCAGTTAAGTTGTCACTATCAAATTGAAATTTCAGATAAATGGACCGATTCTTACATAGCCCCAGAGTACTCAAAGCGCTCTATACAACATGCCACATTCACCGAATCACACAAGCACTTTCTCTGAATTGAGTGCTTTCTAAGTACATTCACACACATTTATACTCCGACGGATGCATCGGAGAGCAACTTGGGGTTAGTATCTTGCCCAAAGATACTTGACACGTAGACTGGAGGAGCCAAGGATCGAACCACCAACCTTCCGATCAGTAGGTGACCTGCTCTACCTCCTGAACTACAGCCACCCCGATAAACGCACTGAGACTCAACTACCATATATACTGCCAGAAAACTAACACAGAATTTTGATATGTGATTTATCATTTAGTGCCATTTATTAAAGAGGACTTAATGTTCTTTGGAGTTTGTTTTTGCAGTTTGGGGATTTCCTAAAATCTATTTATCATTTTGTTTCAAAAAACATTTTTAATTTTAGAAATTCTTATTTTGAATTATCAACAACAAAGATTGGTTTTGGTTGCATTTCTAAATTGAAAATTAAAACAACAACAACAACAAAAAAGGTGATAACGAGACAACAAACAGAGAGAGACTTTGGACATAAATACACACAAGGGGTAACAAGAGAACAGGCCACAGGTGGGAACACAGATGATCTAAGGAGCTTCTCGGATGAGAGGTGAAACATCTTCAAGCAAGATGAAGATGTTTCATCTTCATCTTCAAACATCTTCAAGCGTCTGCACTTTTCTTTCCAAGCTCCTTACACTACAATGACCTGGATGAGTAAGAACTTTCACAGATGAAAACAGATGATACTAATCTAGAAAAATTAGACAAGGGAAGCAAAACTGAATATGTCACACAAAAGGCAGGAGACTATCAAAGCAACACCGGAAGTAAGATAAGCACGAAAACAAAGACTAAGACACACAGGCTTGACACTGGGACCGGGGAGGCAAAGAAACGAAACAGAGAGAGCACTCAGAAACTA